ATAATGTGTTTTTTGAACATTAAAGCATGTCAACATATTCTGTTACACCAAATACACAAAATAATGATCTTTAAAATAGCATCATATGACCCCTTTAAAGCATTATCGCAGTCGCGGACTGTTTACAGCTGACGTAAGTTAGCCCACTGACAAAAAAATAAATAAAGGGAAAGCGAAACCCCCAAAAGAAGTCAGAATAAGGAAGTGCAGACCACACGAACGTTTTGTTCAACCAGAAGCGTAAGTAGCCGAGTAAAATTCTGTAATTCACTTTAACAAACCTTTTCTATAGGCATAGTGGGCATTATAGGCCTACATGTTGTACTTTTTATTTTGTCATTTTATTTAGAAAGAGTTGTTTGGAGAATAACAACATTCGTTCTGAAGGCTTCATAAAAAGTCCTGTAAAGGATATTGCAAGTCTGCAACAATTAGGATTTACAGTTAAAGTAAAAGGCTACTTATGCCAGTCGCATTCTTCTGTCTCGATATTTTAAACATTCTTTAATAATTGAAAGACTGAATGTCTGAGAAAGTATTTTGTGCCACGTAGCTTCTATTTCTTCGAGCAAGGGGAAACTTTTGCTTTGACCAAGTAGTTCTCAGAGGCGTAAACTTCCAGCCCCAAGAAGCATAATGTTGCTCTTAGCTGTTCCAAAACAGTGTAAACCAAACGGCTTAAATTGCATTTCTAAAACGATTATTCCATATAGCTACACTCCATTAAAGACAACACCATTTGAGATAAAAGTATCAAACCAACTGTAAAATATTCATAATATTATTCCCTATAATGCACAAGGCTTGTTTTTTTCAGATTATGACTTTATTGTTTTTATATACTTTACTGAATCCATTTTTGTTTAATATACTGTACCCACTTAAATTAATTAAACTATGACACCGTTTCAGATAAAGGTATCAAACTAACTGTACAATTATGTAAATATTATTCCCTGTAATGCAGGGAATTTTTGCAGTTTATTTTTTTTCAGTAGATACTGACAATAGAACTATAAAATACACCAAAAATGCAACATAATTACAAAATGAAACAATTTTATTAGAGCGCTGTAATCCAAATCTTCCGAATCCATACGACTGCGAGGAACAGACCCAAATCCAAGCCTTTATTCGGCGAGCAGCGAGTCTAGTGAGCAGCAAAGAAAGCCCGCGCTGACTGACGCGCTCTTTACAAATTCAAATGTTGCTGCTTCAAACGACAGGTTTTACGGCAGGATAATCGAATGCTCATTGGCTCTCGCCTGCATTCGTCACAGATTGCGACATGCCGTGTTTCCGGTGAGGTGTGTTTGAATGATGCGCGTGCGCCTTCACGAGTTCATGGAGTGGATCAGGAAAATTATCTGGATAATATTTTCAGCGATTAACAACATAAATTCTGCTCTGGATCACACAAACCTACTGTATTCCACCAGAGAGGACTGCGGGTGCAACGCATCGTCATTTGGATTACTTTTAGTACTGCTTTTGACATTTTTGCAATAAATAAATGATTGTAACGTTATTTGCATTTATCTGTCTGTCATGTTTTTCTTATACTGTACAGAAATGTTTAGGCTTATAGGTAGGAGTGG